TGTGCTGTCTGAAACATAACTAGGAAGTGAATATTCTGACCGAGAATCCCGAGTTTGATTATTTGGTTGCTGGTGACTAACCCCCTCGATGGTGTCTCCACCTTATCGTGGTGAGGGGGTTTGAGTATGCCAAGGACCCTGAGAGCTATACCAGCGGTAGCGTAGCTACTGGCAGGGCCTCCCTTGCTGGACATGTCAAAGGGTAGGCATCAGACGAAGAGAGACACCAAAAACTGATGCCGGAAGCAGCGACATCAGCAGCGACTTGAAGCACAGAGCAAATGATGCTCGAGATGGTTCAAGTTCGTATAGCAACAGGCGTGACCAGAGTGGTTTGAACGGCTGCTGTACTGCGATGTGGAAAGCAAATGGAAAAACTACCACATTATCACTTTTCCTGGATAGTCTCTTTCCAAAAACAGAAGATCGCATTAAGTGGAGGAACTGTTTTGGAAGAGACTGTGGACCTGTCGTCTGACAGATTACTGATGGATGGATGGATGGTGACTAAGTGCATTCACGCTATACGTTAGGTATGATATTAAATTTGTAGTGTAACTCCTGAAAGTTATACTTCACCCAAATGTGTTACAGACGAAGTTTATATAAGTTAAAGAAAGACCTATTGCATATAATTTACCGTCTTTCATTGCAAGAACTACGTTTTGGGGAAATGAGGTTGAATTAACTTAACTGTAATGAGAAGATTAAATAGGAATTGTTGTACTGCCAGTGACGTTCCTTCTATATTTTCATTATTTTCGTTGCTATGGCGACGTTATATTCTCTGTATAATGTAGGTCCAAAACATTATGCATAAAGATAAGTAAATAATAATTTTCAGTATTGTATTTAATTAATTATATATTTAATTGATCTCATCTGTGGTGTAGTGGTCAAAGTTCCTGGCTACAGATCCAGAGGTCCGGGTTCGATTCCCGGCGCTACCAGATTCTTTTCTGAGAAGTAGTGGGTCTGGAATGGGGTCCACTCATCCTCGTGATGATAATTGAGTAGCTGTTTCAAGGAAATAGCGGATCCGGTCTAGAAAACCGAGATTAACGACCGTGGGGATCCGTTGCGCTGACCACGCAACACCCTCTATCCGCAAATTTGGCACTAACTTCGCCGACAAGCGGCGGTCGCTCGGTCAGTATAGTTCGCTTGCGGACTAAAACCACGGAGTTTAGTTTAGTTTTAGTTTTTTTATACGTTTATATTTAATTAATATTTATTCTGTTATAATACTTTCAATACATATGTGCATTACATTGTAATGTTTTCAGCACATACATACATTAAATTTTGCCGAACCAGAAACTGCTTTCTGCTAAAATTTTTTTTTTATGTATTGTGGCATATTTAATCAAAGCAAGAACTGTGGAGCCAGAGAAACAACCATTGCTAGATAACGGCTGTGTAACATGCGACATTAGAGCAACTGTTGGACGCGGTGTTTATGGTGCGATACGTGCCGAGGCTATAAAATTAGGACCAACTGCCATTAAGAGAGGGTCAAGAGACGGCATTAAGAAGAGTCAGCCGCCAGCCTGCGAGGACGTGAGACCGGAAGCAGAGGAACTTCCACCGTTGGAAGAAGTTACCAAGCAGAACAGTAAAGACCGTGACCGAGAACATTACTCTGTGTGTGGTAGTGATCTGTGAAGTGTAGTCACGATTTCTGTATTAAAGAATGAAACGATTACCGATCCAAACGCGTCCATAGTCATACTAAACACGTGATAGCATTTTGATCCAAGGTTCTTACAGCCATGTCTCTGAAGTGCAGGCTTCTCTGTGATATAACACCGTGCGATGAATTTGTGCCTAACTCTACGTAGAAGATATTTATTTATGAATTTGGCGGTGGAAGTGTTGACGGATCTTAGACATATAGGGTAAATTGTTAAACATTTTTTTCTCGAAAACAACTTTTGTATAAACAGTGATCTGAGTTTCAGGGTTTGAGGTTCTCACAGCTGTGGTTCTGACTCCTGGAACGTAACGCCATGTAGTACGTTGAAAGTAAACTGATGTTTCGGAGGAATATACCACCTCTATCATTAAGGTCGAAATATAAGCCAAGCAAAACCAGAGTGAAACTGCTTTCACGCTGAAGAAGGAGGCTAAATGTTCTTCAGAAACCTCTGTTTGGCGTTGTATGGCACTGATTTCAGTTTACGCAATGCAAATTCATACTGAAAGACTGCCGTAAGATTAAATCTAGCAAAAACGAAGCTGTGTGTATATTCTGTAATGTTCCTTATCTATATCAATCTTAAAGGCTAAGTATAATGCCACATTACGTAAATTTTTAACAATAAACTGACAGTTTTATTATGATTTTTGTTAAATGTCTCATTTACAAATAGCACTGCTTAGACCCAAAGTCCCAAAGGGGACGTACTAATGATTTCTGTAGCTAGTAAAGCAGTAGCCGGTCACAGTGGCCGCGCGGTCTGAGACATGAACTGTCGTCGCCCGCTCGAACACTGGGATCCCTGGTTCGAATCCCGTTTGAGGCATGGATGTCTGTGTGCGTTTATTCTGTGTTTGTGCTATCCTCTGTGCAGTTAGCGGCCTTGTGACGGGCCGATCTCCCATCTAAGGAGTCCTACGGACTGTGTATAGGATCAAGAAACTGAAAAAGCGGCCAAGGTCCAATAAAGGGGTGTAGAGCCAAAGACAAATAGACAGACAGGCAGATAGATAGATAGATAGGTAGATAAGCAGTTTATGCATGGTGACTCGTGTTTTTAATGAAGCCGCTTTTTAGAAAGTAAAATATTTTAAAATATTCTTCGGATCTTGCAATTGTTTGCAAACAAATCTTGTCATCAGATGACTAGACTGGACGCGTGTCTGATAACTGGTGTTTTGCGGGCCGTGAAATGATATACATGAACGCTGCTAGCTCCTGGCAGTCGTGTTTCTAGTTCTCCTGTAGCCGCACCTGTAGAAGCAGAACCTGCAGGAACTTATATCCACAGTATGCAGAAACAATTGAACGCATGTTTATTGATTTTAGGGAAATAATTGGCCGCAGAGTGGCGGAACTGAATAAACAATACGAAGTATTGAGATGAACCGCCCTGCCATGGAGATGAAGCCATGGGTCGGAGCTTGTTATTTCACCATTCGAAGTGAATATGGTCGGATTTCCAACTCGACAATCTCATAGCGCAGCAGTAACACATGGTCTATCTGTAGTTCCAAAGTTCAGTGTACATCTCCATCGAAACATGTTCTTGATGTTGGCAAAGATTGTCTTCGTATTTCTCGGGTTAGTTGCGTTTGGAGGGGGGGGGGGGAGTTCGTGCAATCTGATATAAAAACAAGGAGATTATTTAAGAACCTGCCGCAAATCGTTGGGCCGATCCAACTGAAGAGGCAAAAACCCCTCACCTCAATCCTTTCATTGTGTTTTCGGGCTCGCAGAGCTATCAGCTAGTGCACAGGCCAGCAGACCAGAAACAGATCCCACCAAGGATACACCAGAGATCCGAAATGGCTCCTCTTATTGCACACAAATTCCTTGCATCTCCATAAAACATTCTAATTCTCTGTTTGGAAAGAGAAGAGACTTTAAACTTAATATTTCATTGCCAGCTTCAAGAAATCCTGCGATTCAATTAGGAGAGAAATATTGTACACTATGCTGATAGAGTTCGGTGTGCCCGTGAAGCTAGTTAGGCTGATTAAAATGTGTTTAAACGAAACTTATAGTAAAGTCCTTATAGGTAAACAGTTGTTTGATAGTTTTCCTATCCAAAATGGTCTGAAGCAAGGAGATGCTTTATCGGCACTGCTTTTCAACTTTGTTTTAGAATGTACCATTAGGATGGTCCAGGAAAGCCAGGTGTTACTAAAATTAAATGAGACACATCAGCTGCTGTTCTGTGCTAATGATGTGAATCTACTGGATTATAACATAGGTACCATAAAGAAAAGCACAGAAACTTTCATTGACGCTAGAAAGAATGTTGGTCAAGAAGTACGGGCAGAGAAAACTGAGTATGTTGCTGTCTCGTCACCAGAATGCTGGGAAAGGTCTTGACATAAAGATGGGTAACAAATGTTTTCAAAAAGGTGACACAGTTGAGATATTTGGCGACGACAGGAACAGATCAAAAATTGGTTCAGGAGGAAATTAAGAGGAGACTGAATTCGGGTATTCGCTACCATTCAGTCCAGAGTCTTTTGTCTTTTCGTCTGAATTCGGGTAATACTCGCTACCATTCAGTCCAGAACCTTTTGTCTTCTCGTCTTCCGTCTAAAAACATAAAAATTAAAATATACAAAATGGTAATTTTGTTTGTAGGTCTGTATGGATGTTAAACTTGGTCTCTGACATTAGGGGAGGAACATGGACTGAGGGTGTTTGAGAACAGGGTGCTGAGGAGAATATTTGGAACGAAGAGAGATGAAGCGACAAGAGGTTTGAGAAAACTGCATAATGAGGAGCTTCGTAACTTATACTTTTTTTCCAAGTATAATTAGAATGATGAAGTCACGGAGAATGAGATGGGCATGGCATGAAGTATGAATGGGGCGAACAGGAATGCATGTAGGATATTGGTGAGAAAGACATGAGGAAAGAGACCACTATAAAGACCAAGGCGTAGGTGGATGAATAATGTTAAAATGAATCTTAGATAGGCTGGTATGGATTGGATTGATCTGGCTTAGGATTATTCTGATGTTGGCCGCGCCAAAGCTAAAGCCGTTAATCGCTGGTTTCCCACCGCGGCAGCCCGGGTTCGATCCTGAGTCTAGTCAAGTGGGATTTGTGGTGGACAAAGTGGCGCTGGGGCGGGTTTTCTCCGAGTACTTCGGTTTCCCCTGCCAATCTTCATTCCATCAAATTCTCCATCATCATAATCACCCTGGGCACGTACAATAGGCTAGTCAGTGGCCGCCGTGCCGAGTGGACCTATTTGGACTCCGCCCCCCACTAAACGAATTAAAAAAAATACTCTGATGTTGTTGTGCCTTCCTAGCGCTGCTGGTTTGTGGCGGAGCGGCGGTCTATCCTGTGGGCTGGAACAACAGGGAAGTCCTGGAATCGTGCGGGAATGTATCCAGCGTCTACAATCTCGGTAAGTATTGTGCCCTCAACCGCTGGGACTTGACGTCGGCTGCTTGGGACGCAAGATCTCGAAAATAATAATTAATTCAGCCACTGAAAAACTTTCCTGCACCTTAAGTACGAACTTACTAATGCTTCACTATAATCATATTGCTGATAACAAAGTTTATTTTTGCTAAATATAATTCTGATAATAGAACTGTTTATAGAAACGTTTACAATCTTCAAGTTCGTTAGAACTTGCATTAATAATTAATTGTGCAATGTAGTATGTAACTGTGAAAATACACTTCTTGTAAAAAGAGGAAGTCTTGCTGTGGTGGGACTATGGTTTCATGATAAGATAACCAGTGGGACGAATCACTGTCCTAAACAACCTTGCTGTGTGTAAATTCGCTGGAGCGTGAAGCTGAACACACTCACCTCTGTTGCAGGTACGTGTGAGCTGTCGTGGTCCGTGTACCTGCTAGGCAGTGCCGTGGGGCTGCTGCTACTGTGCTTCGGCCTCAGCTTCTGTGCATCGAGAGTGAAGCCGGGCTCCTTCCGCATTTGAGTGTACAGCGCAGGCATGCTGTCCAGCAGCGTGTGACAGACAGACATACAGTTGGCTTCGCATTAGCGCCAGTACACAGCACCTTGCCCATCACAGACAGAGAAATGTGCAAATGTCCATATTTTCAAACCGGTTTAATGTAAATTCATTAGTTCGTTATGCTAAGAAACAAACTTGATTTCAGTTGTAACATTGCTAACAATGTGTATCGTGTTAGCCTGAATTTAAGGCGAATCTTTTGAACTGCTTAGAAAAGAAGGGTCACTTTCTTTTCTGGTCCTTAAGAATAAACGTGAAACAGATGATTATGAGGAGTTCTAACTGCTAATTTTTATTTTGTTTATGAAAATACCTACAATTATATTTGAGGTAGTTTTTACTCCTTTTAGCTTACAACAGTTGAGAAGCTGACCATTCACTTGCTTCTATTGCCTAGGCCAAGAATTGTAGAACTACTCATGTACCTCCACTCCGGCATATGTCTTCATGAGGTGGTGCTTAATTAATTAAGCCCAGGGATAACTTTACAGTACCCCTCAAAACTAAATGACATTCAGTTTTATGAAAACGCATTTTTCCCTATTTTCTTGTTGGAAAAAAAAGGGTCGCCTTATATTTGGGCATGTACGGTATTTGATCTGCACGAGATTCGAGGTTTTCATGACGGTGAGATTTCATTTGCGGTCTTCTGGGTTATGGCACTTTGTTGTAGTCTGGCAGGTGAGTACTAGCATTTCAGAGGAACATGTTGCTATTTTCATTTTACCTCGATGATCGGGGTAATATGTTCCTCTAAAACGCTGCTACCAACCTACCAGTGCATTAACCCAGAAGTTCACACTGTGAATATATGGTAGAAAGCCGATTATCCGAATTATTTAGTGATAAAGGTGATTCAGATAATCGGAAATTCGGAAAAATCGATTAAAGTTTTATTCACGAAAAAGTAACATTATTATAATTACTGTTATAGTAATAACTAAGAAACTTTTAAGGCAGAAGAAAAACGAAAAATTAATTAATGTAATTATAAATTTACATTTTCGAACACTTTATTGAAAAATTCCAACAGTGATGTCTGTTTAGCAGACCCATTCCTTGGTTGCGGTTATTCGGTTAATTGGCAATTGGGATAACCGGGATTCGGATAATCGGCGTTCGACTCTGTACGATCTCCAACCCTCCGCAAATATATGGGTTGTTTAAAATATTTGGAATGGTATTTGTGATGGTTTGCTACAGTGGGTCTTCATTTGTTGGACATTTTGTACGCTATTTTAATGTAAAATACACATTTCATAAACTGCGTCTCCTTTCACCTACAGGAGTGTCTAACAGTGAGTACTGGACCAACGAGAGTGATTAATCACAATCTAACAGGCCCTTGTGATTAGATTTGCCAATCTCGTACATGCCTGATGATGGAAACAAATACATTTTTCGAAACATTATGTTTTATATCAAATCAAGACAATGAATAATGTATAAGAAGTTAAACTTATTCTGAATCATGTATGGTAACACAGGCACTGGCTTCCCTGTAAGGCATACTCCGTGTAATTCAGTCATCTGTGCCCAAATACTGTAAACCTGCCATCTTGCAACATGGATCTGTGTTCATGGCTTCGTAGATCAGTGCCTGATCCAAGAAGGAACAGCTGACTGCTTCAGAACTCCCCGATGATCATCATTTCGTTTCTTAATAATTGTGATCTGTAAGTGCATAGCAACATAGTCATTTAAAATGGTAATATATACTGCATACCTTTACATATTTTGGTTATAATAATTGATGAAGATATGCAAAGTTATTGTGATACATAATTTGAACAACATGTTTCATCTCCGTACTCTTACTGTAGTCACTGCCGAAATGAAAATAGTGCCCAAGAGGTTCGCACTGAAGCCAGTAGATTCTAAACCATATTTGATGCAAACTTCTCTTCCACTGCAATATGTGAGGACAGTGGTTCCAACCATGCTTATGACTTGGCTTAGTGTTGCTCCATCTTAAAGGCCTTTTTTTTTTTTTGCATTCACATGTGGTGATCATATGCTAATGGGCTTCAGAAATTTGACTTTATTCCCCTCAGGTATAAGAAAAATTGTATTAATATTCAGTGGCATCTTGTGAACTTTTTACAATATGGGAGTAATTGCCAGAAATGTTTTAAAATGCAGAATATTAATACTACAATTTAAGAACCTTTGGGTTGCTTTTTTGTTCTGTATGTAATAATAAATACTTATTATATTAACTGATGTAATAACCTTTCCGTGAGATGGGATAGCAAAATCAGTATAGTGAGTGACTGTGGGGAAGAGGACTGCAGTTCTATGCCTGACAGAGTCACAAAATTGTTCTCAGTGCCACCACGTCTATACTGGCTCTGGGAACCACCCAGCCTCTTACCCAGTGATTAACGATGATTCTTCTGAAGTAAAGCGGCCGGAGTGTGAAGCTGACTGCTCTGCTACATCTAGTGTCCATTTTAAGAATATGTGGGCTAGTTTACTCATTTATTAATTTTACGAACTACTTTTGACCCAAAAATATGAGGTTCTGCTCTGTATTGCCCTGAGGCCACCACAAATAAACACTTAGAGCACGGTGTGGTATATTGACACATAAAGTGAGAAACTACGCCACAGGAAAAAACTCTAGGATAATTTCTGTAATTCTTATGGCTACAGTGCAGATATACGGTAACTCAGTTTCTGAACAACGCATATGTAACCGAGTTTCATGCACACATTCAGTATATGTTGCAAATGCATGAAATTTCTTTTACTTTCGTAAGCTCAAAGAATACCTTGTGTCATTAGTTTGTGATACAATCGGGGATTTATAAGATCGACCTCTGCTCCCACAGTTAATTTATTCAAGAAGTGGTAGGTGTTTATGGTCAGTCGAAGATAATATTTACACCCAAAAGAGAGGAATTCGCATATGGCTGAAGACTCCTCCTTAAATGAGGAAGTTTACCATCTGTACTCTGCATCAGATGTTATTAAGGTAAGGCTGAGATGACCGGGACATGAAGCAAGGATGTGAACGATAAGAAATGCATATGCAGTTTTAGATTGTAAACCTGAAATGAAGAGATCCCTTGGCATATATAAATTAACTGAGAGGATATTATTAAAATTGATAGATATTAAAGGAATAGTGTATGAAGATGTAGACGTTTCGTTTGGGGTGGGGTCCAGAGTCTGAATGTTGCGAACTCAGATGATCTTTTGGGTTTCATGAGCGACTACCAGCTTCTCAAGAAAACGCAGTGCCGTAATTAATTATGCACTGTTTCCCATGAACCAGTCATTATGACTGTCATTTCTGCTCCCCCCCCCCCACGTCAGTTGTCACAGTAATGAGAAAAATCTGTTTATTGAAGCTTTCAGTGTTGTGGCCAATACTGAGACTTTAAAGACATAACTATAATCCATATAGGCTTGCATGTCATTTCCCACGAAAAGGATTTAGTTCCACTTTCAGTTAAATTTCAGATAAATGTTTTCAAATTAGGTTGTACTATACTATATATTCAGAATGTAACCATCAAATTGCAATTACCAACGTTATTCTCTTAAAATGTCCAGAATGATTCAACCCCTATAGGGTTATCTTCAGGGGCACATTTTATTTACTCTTTAGCGTAATTCAAATTCAAACTACTGAAGGACCGCAATTTACCTGAGGTACCTGCCCGCAGACCGGATTATAACAAATATGTTTTATTGCAGGCTGGTGTGTCTGTGTGTGTGTGCATGTGTGCGTGCATCTTGCAGTGATGAAGTCTGTGAAGCACAGGCACGTGAGTAGAAACTGGACACACAGAGTTTAAAAACATGTTTTGTAATTAAGTATGCTTTAACATCAGCCGCTAAAGGGTTGCTGGATTGGGTAACTATTGCACGCAAACATAGAATCATTCTAATTTCACACTTTTCTATATTACTTATTGGGTGTTGTGCGGAATCAGTTGAAAACTTACACAGGCTATTTAGCGAGACAAGAAAGTACACTCTCGGGGCCTTACAAAACCGAATTTCTTACCTCCGTACGGCCCGCATGCCTCGTATTGGCAGCCCATGCGTCAGTCATTCAAGGTTTTGCGTCATTTTCTTGATTATTATCTTCAGCACAGATAAAATATTTACAATTAGTTAAAAACTGTGTACAATCAGAAGTATTCTATTATATCCATCACAACTTCGTAGTATTTGTCTAGGAAGTTGAATTTTTATTCTTATTTGTTTTTAACTGAAATGAAAAATATATAAATTCCTGTTAATTGTAAAATTCATTACTTAGTGCATTCCAGTTAAAGAGATGTATGTGGAGTTACATTTTTGGTAGTATTTGTTTTTACTCTGAATTTCTTTAAAGTCACTTGAATTCCATTCCTTGAAGGCAATTAAGTCTAGGCTCTGTGTTAGATAGTCAGTTCCCAACACATGTCCCTGCAAACCTCGCATTAAGAAATTGTGGAAATTTGCATGATCAAGACTCCACGGACGTTTTACCCCTGGGAACTTCAATAAAGGAACAGATCCCAAGGGTTCTGAACCCAGACCGTCTCCCAGTATATCCTTAAAAAAAATGCTTGTTCTCATACATGTTAATATTCAGAGCGAAACTTGGATACGAATTTAACCGCTTCAGAAATTCGGCGACACAGAACTTCGTATGTTGTGACGCGCTGGTCGCGCGGCGCCGCCTGCAGGCTGCTCTATCGTGGCAGACCGGCTACAGAAACACAGTCAGTGGCTAATGGCTGAAACACAGATATGTGCCCTTTTCCAATTAACCGATTCATTCGTCCTCAATTCCTTTAAATTTCTATTCATGTTCTATATTCCCATGTGCATCATCTGTGCCGATGTATGTACGTGTATTATTTCATCGAACATGAAATGTATGCAACACTCTCTTCTCATCTCTCTAATGTTTACTGTCCTTTAACCAGCTGACTACATGAAGCAGATTCAGTGGACAGTCAGAGCGTGTTCAGTGCCGCACATTAATATAAAACATTTAAAATGTTCAACTTCAACAAAAAACTACAGTGTTAGCCAATAGAAATAGAAAACCTGCCTATTGTAGGATATTGTAATATAGTACATAACACACCGGTTCTCGGCTTACATGGAAATTTACGCTAATTGCATAACATATTAATTGTAACTTAAAAAAAAGAACTGAAGATGCACACGTCATCCTAGACAGCAGCTCCACCTGCTAACAATACTTTTGTGTTTGCAAGACCCACAGACTCTTCTTTGATACGATACGGACAGCATAGAAAACGACACGACCAGCAGTTCTACTGTTGCGTGTATTTGTTGTAGCGGGAACGTGTTTACCGAGCCTTTACCTGGCAACAATAGAGGGTTACATATACAGACACAAATTTATGGGAGGATTTATGAATTGCGCCTTTGAGATGGGCTCATGTCCCGTGATATACATACCAAGTTTCATAAAGATTAGTTGAGACATTCAAAATTTGATGGGGGATTCATAGCAAGGCGATTCCATAAGCCTACTTTATTTTTTTCAAAATAAAGAAAATATGATAAAAACTGCTATTTGAGCTCGAAGTTGCAAGTGGGCTATAATGCTTGTGTTTTGTACATCCTCATGACCTACTAAGAAAACTTACTTGCCTATATAAGTGGACCGAGATGTCCTTGACAATTTGGGGGAAGCTCTTGCTATGCAAAATCTGCTCAACAGAGCCCCACATAACTGTAGAGAATGGTGCGGTACCACTACAGGAAATTAGGGTGGGCATGGTCACGTCATCTACAATAGAGCGTATTCGAAGGAACCCACTGTGGCCCCGGCACTTACAGGACCCCTCTGATATTTTGGTCCTGCTGCGGATAGGCTTAATGCATAGTTCACTCTGCTACTTGTTCCCAGACAGACTGTGTTTTGCCCTCTGGTTTTGCTTAAGCTTCGCATAGGTACCACACAACATCAGATCTGATTAAAGAGTATCCTATCTGAAGGATGCGTGTGACGGGTAGAAACAGCATTTAGTTCCACAAGGAAAGATCTTTCTGATGACGAGTCAGAAAGAGTACCTAGTATGAATTCCTATGTATATATTTTCCAGTTAGATGACTAGGAAATCGTTTATAAAGCTAAGCTTGTTACACATTTACCCTACCTGTGAAAATTTATACTCAGGAATTAAATTACGAAAAATAAACTCCCAAATGTCAAGCAACCAAATGCAATAAGTATGTTTCTAAACAAACGGTAACCAAAACGTCCAAGAAAGCCCTGTGTTGCCAAACTCAATATTTATTTCCTTTATTTCGTCATCTTCTCCCTACTTTAGCAAGGATACGGCCTCTTGGGTCGAGTCCGAGACTCAAAACAGATCAGACAAATTTTCCCCGTTTTTCCAATTTGCCTCCTATTTCTCGGCCTGTAATAAAACACTCTCTGGGGAAGTCATACTTCCCATCCTTTCGATGTTGATTCTCTATTGTAATCTGCACTTCTCGGTATGCTTAACAACATTAACTTCTCCGAACTGCTTCTCGGTTGCTTGGTGACGTAAATGGCCTTTTCGTGTGGCACCTGCGTGTGCCCTGAGGAGTTCCATTTCTTGAGTTTTCAATTTGTCCATGTCCTTCGTTCTTAGTATCCTGGTTTCCCATTTAAACCTGTAAATCTAGCTATTATTTTGTGCCATCGTAACTAAATATTGCTTGGCATGCTTTTCCCGTTTATTCTGATAACTTCACTTATTTTATTAAAACCGCTAGTGTTGATTTTATTTTCTAGGCAGGTTTTCCGTTGATAGCGATTGTGTTTCCGAGACACTGAAATGTTTTAACGTGTTAGGTTATATAATAATCTATTACAATATTATGGTTTAATGTGTCTTACACTTTTCATTGCACATTCATTTTGTCTTTGCAGCAAAAATAGCCATGTCGTGTATTGAACTAATTTTGTAAATCTTTAATTTTTCCATCCTTTTGTGTAGGCTGGTGATATTATATTGGGATTGAATGAGCATTAATACGCCTTCATTCTGGTACGTAATACCTTCCACATAAAAGTAAAGTTGTTCATGTGCTTAATTAATTAAACACCATGCCAGAAGGTCGTATGAGGGAGTGAAGGCATTCTAAACCTCGACACCAGGTAAGAGTAAGTGGTTTTAAAAACAAATGCATGTTTCGACCGTTTTTCATCTTCAGATGATACGTAGTATGAGAAAATTGTCATTGAAATA